TTTGTACCTTTTATCAAATTGTATTGTATTGTTATATCATTTTTTGATTAACTCATAACAACACCATTCAAATATTTTTGATTAAAAAAACTAAATTTTTAAGTATTATTAATACTTCACACCTATTGTCGGATAAAACCCTTAAATCTATAAACAAATCCACATTTTGCAATTATGGATCGACGAAATAATCAGCAATGGACTTATCTAAGTCAGATTGACGGAGATATGGATATGTTATTATTATTACGATTATTATTATTATTATTATTATTATTATTATTCTAAATTTAGCCAGAGAATAAATTCTAAGACTGAAAGTCTTCAAGCACCAGCATTTAAGGCTTTCGGCTTTATTAAATTGCTTTGCTAGTCGAGACTCTCGCTTACTAGGCCATTCAGGCGGTTAATGTGGATGTAATTCCAAAGTAAAGGAAGAAAATAGTTTAATAATTCAGCGAACATTAAGAAGTAGCTGGACTTAATTACCGAAGTGAGATTATTCATGCTTAGGGTAAACAGGAAGGGTCCTAAATGGCTATCCTTAGAGCTTAACCGCTCCAATAGGTGTAAAGGGAAACCAGAGGCCAGTTCAAAGGCCAATAATTTATAGCTAAGTAAGTCAAACGCTTTACTAAAATCAGTATATACGATATCCCCCCGCGAGAGCTACTAGAGTTATCTTGTAAACTTACCAATCAAAGAGTAAGAGGATCATAACGTTCTTCCTCTTAGGAAGCCATCCTGGAGTGGACAAATAGAAGATTTGATAACGAAAACCAATTGCTGCGAAATACTTCGTTCAAACAATTTTGGCAAGGTACAGTGTAGTTCTGAAACAGTTTTCTCTTCTGATATTTGTTAAGCGCGATAAGAAACTGCTCTCCCAACACAAAGGGAAAACACTTGCTTGCAAAGAAAGATTAACAATCTTTGTGATAACGGATTTAAAATCTTTCAGGACCATGTGCGCAATAACATTTAAGTGATCTTAAGCTTTGTAATACGTCGCTTTCCGAAATGACCAAGTTCGGAATTGCAATTGGTATAATCTTTTAATTGATCCTGCGATCAAAACCGCATTCGGTTCTTAGTAATACTCACGTCAACCTAATTTAACATGACACTTAGGAAAACATTTGTATTAATTTTTATAATTAATAAAAGAAATTTATGGAATTTTGTTAACGTAAACTTCTTAATAATAGTTCCAATTTTTGAACATTCGAATGCTTAAAGACATCTTAGCCAAATTTCGTGTGAAATTTGCTTTGTTAGGCTTTTCTTGAAGATGGTTTTCAAATCGTCAAAGCAGGCATCGAAATGTTAAAAGGGATTTATATTGATTGTCAGTCGCGATAGACATTTTATTGGTGGACAAAAGTCCTTTCTTAAAAGTTTAAACAAAGGTGACGCTAATATAAGTCTCGAAAGAAACACATACGATTTTTTTTTTTTAAATATAGAGATCAAGAGATAGTTATATATATCAAAAATAGTTATCTTTTTTACTTTCAACGTTCTGATCAGAAAACAATAATTAGCTTCCCAAAAGTAGGCTAAAAATAAATCCTAAACGAAATAATTCAATTTTTCCATTTCCTTCGGAATGTATTTCTATAAATGGTGGTGTTTGCTACAAAAATAAACGACATTTCATTATGTCATGTCGCTCTACGGTAACGCATCGAGTGGAAAATCATTGCAAGCGGATATTGGCATTTGCATTACACTCGTAAATCCTCCCAAACAATTATGTTGATTATTTGAAAAATGTTTCCCACAAACAGCACTATTGAACTAAGCGATAACCCTTTTTGACATAGAAGAAGATAATGCCATTATAATAAAAATGGATACAAATTAGTACAAATTTCTAACCATTCTCGGTCAATAGGTTTTGCAGGAGTGTAATAAAAAAAACAAGTATTCGGCCATTACCGCTCATCACCGTTATCCTAAAAAGACTACAAAAAGAATCAAATTGTCATACTGTACAACATTGGGTGGACGCCGCAGATGTTTTCTATATTCAGAATAAAAGAGAAAACTTATATGGTGTGTGTACTGTACTGTACGAGTCACAAAATGTAAACATGGAAAGCGGAGATGTTCACAATGTTTTTTGCGTAGGAATGTGGGCTTTATAGGCATGTCCCCTCACCGATTTGGGTCATTTCTAAATTTTTGTTGCAAGTTTGTAAGCAATTTCTTCATTTTTGCAAAAGGAAGAACATTTTTTACAGATGCAGCTGGACAAACGGATGCGGTTAGGTGCATTCGGAGACTTGCACTGATGAAGAATATACACACTTTGAGGACTTTTGCGTCGCTAGCTTTTGGTCATTATAAAGATATTGAAAAAAAATGTTGATATGCTATAGTATTAGGTAGGCGGGGTCAACTCTTTCCATATTTGTGCTCGTACTATAACTAAGCCTATAGAAAGTACTTTAAAAAAACAGAGAATAGTCACGGCCACGTTTAATCGATGCAGTATTTGATGCTGATCAAGAATATATACAGCTTATGAGGTCTTTGGAGCTTCTCTTTAGACGTTGCAAACGTTTTAACGAAGTGAATAGACTCTTTATCCTTCGGCAATGAATACAAAGAACCTACCGATCATACGCTAAGCAAGCGATTCAGTAACCTTCGAGGAAGATTCTTTTAAGGCAAACTTCGGAATAGTTTTGTTTAGATTGCTCGTCTCTTAGATCATACCAACACGTTTGACTAAAATTAGTTTTATATTTTAATTAAATACAATTGTCCACTTGACATTTCTTAATTACTTTCCATTTGCGAAGTTAAATTTGGCGCACTTATCAGAAGAAGACATATAATAAGTAAATGTTCTATCTGCATGTGCGATGTGAATGAATTGGATTGAACAATGTTTTAATTTACTTTGCTGTGGTTTTGAGATTTAAAGTCACTTTTACTCAGTCAATTCATTTGCATTTACATAAAAACTCACATATTTTTGAGGAGTTTCATTTGAAAAATTTTATTTTTACTTTTTTAAGATTGCGACTTATTTGATTGATCCTCATCTGCCTTCTTATCACCGAAGGATTAAGGGACATTCATTTTGTCAAAATGTTTGCAATGCCCAGAAGAAAGCTTCATGGACTCCTCAAAGTATATTAATAATCCACAAGGTATACATATTCTTGATCAGCATCAAATTAGCATGCCCGCCTGTGTAATGTCTGTTGTAAATATTTCTCCCGCCGAAAAAATGAAGCTAACGATCCATCGTATGGCAGAATCATTGCAAGTTCTTGCCTGCGGGTTGGTATTGAAAATGGGCCAAATTTTCCAACAAATTTCCTCTCAATGTGTTAAAAAAATTGCAAAAACATTTATGAAATGTTGACTTAAATGAATTGAATTTACATTAATTTTACGCTCGTCAGAATTTCAAGGAAATTTTTTTATGGAGATGTTATCGTAATTACCTAGTAGTCTGGGATAGACCACCAGCTTCGTTTCTAATAAATTTTCTGTGACTTGACAAGTCTTTAAATATAAAAATAAAGACAAAAAACTTTAAATAAACATCTGATTTCTAGTACTTTCTCGGTTTTGATGAAAGAGAGGAGTAAATATGAAATTTTATGCAATCGTATGTAATTCCATTTGGGTTCATATGTGGTAGTATGCAAACATATGTGTTTGTTCTCTCTTTTCGAGAGAAAAGAAATTATTTATCGCTCGTTCAATTACACTTAAAAGCTGAGCTGTTAATGAATTTTTCACAAAATAGTCGTTTTTATGATAAAACCCTCCAAATAATAACTTAGCCCGGAGAAAAAGATGCGTGAGCAACAGAATCAAAATGTGAAGAGACAGAATGTAAGACCTGCGCTCTGCAGCGCCCTTTGAACAAGACTTGAAAGAGCACTTAAAATTAAATAGGTAAATATATGAAAAGTGAAGAAGGTTTGTTATAATTTGAAGTAGATGGTTTTAGCGAAGTAAAACTTCGCGTTGATTAGAAATACAATATTTAGTAAAGTTTTTCACAATGTCTTGTTTACATGTATTGATTGTATGATGTATTGACATTGAATTAATATATCTTCACTTTTAAGTTTTAGTGGTCATACACAAGCATTTATTCGGTTTTTATTATTGCTTTTGATGATTTATTATTATTATTATTAGTTATTCTAAAGAAAAACTAAAAAAACGAAAAAACGAAATATTCTTATACATCGTGTACATGTACATCGCAAGGATGGATACGGGTATGTTTGATGTCCCCATCCTTCAGTGATGGGTATGAACAGCAAAGACGATTATTTATAAAATTTCCAATATTTCACGCATTTTATTTAGCATACGAATTTTCCAACCATCTTGGTACTTTTTTTAGGCAAGGCTGCAGCAGGGGTAGAACGCATTGTGTCCAAAAGACGCAAAAGAGATGCTGTGTTCAGGATCCGAAAATGTAACTTTGCTTTATTTTTAGCACCAAATATGAGAATTGAATTTGGTATATTTTGCAAAAAATGTAGACGTTTATTTCTTTTCGGAATTGCTTCACCATGTCTGCCTACCGCCTTTGTAATGACTCCAATAGCAGCTTTAAAAGGAGTTTTTCTTCTCTTTCTGCGGATAAAGGAAGGTCAATGCTAAAGAGAAAAAACGGTAATAGTACCCACCCCACCATATACAAAAACATTTCCCATCCAAAGTAAAGTGGTGATGCGCTTATGCTTTTGGTCGCAGTTTGTGTGCATTATTTCACCAGCAGAATTTACAGCCGTCAGTATTAAACATGTTACATAAACATGTTATATTACATTGACTGTAGAAAAGTATACATGAATTTGTGTGTTCGTTATGCTCTCTGGTGCTATTGCTGTTCATTTTCTAATTTTTTTATCTTCCAAACGCACTATATGACTGTTTGATTCCTCACGTTAGCATTAATGCGCAGCTCGCACATAATGTGTTACTCGGAAATCTGTCAGTTAGGGCGGCAGCAGCTTTGCCGTGTTTTCACAATTTTAAAACTTAAAAATTATGAATATATGTTGTGGATCAAACTTTACTTAAAACCAACAAAGATTAACATATATCATTAATTTAAGGAAATCAGAGAATTATTCAAAGTATATACGCTGTGCTAAAAGTTTTGTGAAAATATTGGACAATATTTTAATAAATGATGAGAATTTCTTTTAAACTTGTAAATTAACACATCTTTAAGAAATGTTTAAGAAAATCTAAAAGCGATTAAGAAATCCATCTAAGAAATCTAATATAATTAAAACAAAAATGTGTCTCTAAATTACCGATAATTTTTTGGAAAAGTTTTACCAATTTTTTCGCTTCATTCCTTCTTCATGAAAACTATAGCGAAAGTCTCCATAACTCTCCAAAGCACAAATGAAATAAAAGTTGATGGCGTGACATTGAAAATATGCTCAACAGTATAAAGAAGAACATTTAATGAAGAAACAAGTTGGTTTTATCAGACTATTCGTGGTCAGGCAAATAAATTTGAAATTTTTTCACTATTCTGCGCTAGTTGTAAGGCGTACAAAATGTATGCAGATATTTGCAACGACCACAGGGATTTGAGAGTATCCACGTGTTTAACCTATAGGTCCCGAATTCGAGCTGTTTGAATATAATTTAGTACGCTGGCATTATTGGGCCAAGGACAAAAACGGGCTCGATCGGATCATACTTACGACCACTGCTGAATGAGGCTCCATATTTACAAGTTGTCAAATTAAAATTTGAAATTTTTACCAATTCTCAATATTTGCAATGAAATAGTTAGAATAGTTGGGTCTTTACAAGTCTCCATAAGACAAGTTTAACAAGTTTAAGTATTATGGTGGAAATTGTGCCAAAATAGCTACTTGGTAGAAGCATATCATGGTAAGTTTTGAGTACATAATTTTTTTTGTACAAGTCACTTTCGATGTACGCGAAATTTTAATGACAAAAATGAATAAATAGTAAAATCTCTAACAAACAAAAAATTAAAAAAAAAAACAGAAATTTAATTGTACATGGATGACGTTGATGCAAGGAAAAATTTCCGTAGAAAGCACACGGTAAAAAAGCATAGCTTTTGGCATTTTATGACGAAAATATAACGGTGACACTACGGAGTTTTCACTAATAAAAACCATATTTTCAATAAGGCTCTGATCAGCATAATCCATATTAATTTTGCTATTTGATACCTAACCAGCTTAAAGACGAAGCATTTTCGTAGGAGGACAGAAAATTTTCAGACATTTGCATGTGTTTGTAATGTTACGTAATATTTCGGATCAAGGTTAGCGTAATTCTAAGTGATAAAAAAATTTCTCACGTGAGTTTTCTGTGTCTTGGACCGCAGTACAAAGGGTCAAAGAGAGGACAAGCCAAAGAGGGCAAGAATAAAGAGAAAATGCGGAATTTTCACTCTTCAATCAAACGAACATCAAATAGCTATCTTTATAACGATTTATAACGAATGTGCATTTTCTCAGCTTTGTGTGATAATAATTATTTCCGCAAATTCAAATCATCTGCTTTTTGCAAATATTAAGTACAATATCATATCAACAAACATTTCAGTGAACGATGAGTGAGGAAGCAAAAGACATAAGAAAGTAATTAAAAAAAAAAAAAGAAAAAATACAAGAATTGTAAGCTTGTTGTAAAAATTAACCAGTCCTGCAGACAGTTTTACTCAAGTTTTTTGTTGCTTACTCTGTGGTTAAGTTATTATTTTCGTGTGACGGTATTCGGCCATTTGTGGCCGATATAAACGACCTTCAAAACGTTTTGTGTCGAAGCAATACGTACTATGGGCTGCGCACAGTCTGCCGAGGAAAGGGCTGCAGCCGCCAGAAGTCGTTTAATTGAACGCAATCTGAAAGAAGATGGTATACAGGCTGCTAAAGACATTAAACTTCTTCTTCTGGGTAAGTTATAAAAGAATAAATACATACTAAAAAAAATAATTTCAAATCCTTAAACGAGGTCGTTGTAAATTTCTCGTTTTCTTACCGACAACAATAAAAACCCACATTACACTATGCATTTTTCTCTGCATGTAGGTGTGGATGCATTCTTGTGTTGTTAATACTGCTCAAATGAATGCTAAAGTGGAAAACACTTCAAAGAAGAAAAGAAAAACTGAAAGACTGTAAAAAATATCAGAGAATTTAAGACGAAAACAACGTTGGATAATAAATAAAAACATCTTTCTTGGCTATCGACGTGACTAAAAATAACACTGCATCATAATAATAGCAACATATTGTTGTTACAGTAATATCTTGCCGCAATAACCTATGCATAAGATACACTTAGTCAAATCTAAATGATATAAACAATAGTTTAATTGTGCGTTGTGACGTTTTCTTTGCAAAAAGTTTAATTTATCATATGTGGAAATGTTTTTATTATATCCACCACCATATATATTCTTCGTCAAATTATGAATTGATTGTGCAATGTCTGTCCATCTATGCGGTAAGCGTTGTTCACACTTTCTTGGTCGCAAAAATAAAGACGCAAAAAAATTTGGTAGAAACATCAACAGTTTTCAGAGCACATGCCTGCAGCAAAGCGTAAACTGAAGGCAAATACGTTTCTTTTAACACAAATTTTTGGGTTTTTGTTCATTATTCATAAATTATCAAAGATAGGGTGCAACTTTCCTTTACTTTACGGAATCTAATATTTTATTTTCTTACATACTTACTTTCACAAGAAACTCAACTAAAGCAAATTAACAGTCGCACTCAATTGACTCTTAGAAATATTTTTAATATTACTAATACAAAGTATATGAGGAGAAATGAGGAAAAAAGGAAAATAATAATAATAATAAATAATAATTTATGTACAAATAACAAGAAGAAAAAAAAGAAAGTATGTACACAACTAGCACAGAGGCACACCCACAACCGGTACAGAACCAAATCGCAAGTGAATCTCTAACCCGTCGCACATATGCAAAAGCTTGGCAACCGATACGGTAAACAACACCAATTAATGCTCGAATCATAATAAGATATTAAGGTGAAAAGTTGGTTTAATTACGACATGGGCAAATCTCGCGTATTTAACAAAATTGTTTTGATTGACTTTATAGACTCCGATATTGAGATTAAAAGGTAGACGTCAATCTGTAAACAACTCTAAACGGATTAAACAGCTCACATTTATATTTACATAGTCAGCTTAATGAACATGAAGTGCCCAGAGAAGCGATCAGCAACGGATCGATAGTACCATTAATTAACTTAATTAAGAGGGAGACAACAGGAATAAATCTACGTTTCTCAAGTGACGGTAAGGATAACAAAAGCAACCTATTTTCATAAAGAGACAAATGGGCCCCAACCCAAATTCCTAGGGGCAAAAAGCAAAAACTGCTTTTGAAATGATTCAATTGAAACCACATAGAAGGGAGACCACACAATAGAAGCATACTCAAGTATTGGTCTAATTAAGCACATGTATAGCTTTTTCTGTAATGTAATACGCTTCAACTCTTTGGATCACCTCTTAATGAAACCAGCAATGGACCTAGCTTTACTTAAAAATAATTCAATATGCAAATTAAAACGTAATCTTTGGTCGAATAAACGAATCAACGGTGTCCATTTCATGTGCAAAAATGGAAAAACCCGGCATGCCTACGTAAAGTCTTTATATATTTCTTTCTTTTACTTTTTTGAGATATTATCCTGTTCAACCATAAGGTAAATAAGACAGTATGTTTAAAATTATTTTGTTTAATCCTGAAATGAAGATTTATTATCTGCCTAAGAATGCATTCTAAAATAAAAATGGCGGACAACGAGGTGGTGGATTAATTTTTTCTTAACAATATTATCGATATGGGTAACAAATAAAAGGACTTGGAAAATAGAATGCAAAAAGATCGTTCTAAATTAATTATGGTGCACATCACGACGTGTACGATTAATTTTTTCTTAGCAATAACTTTTAATGAACTAAAAAGTAGAAGACAGACCTTATTTCATTCGTTTTTTATAACTACAAATACAAATACAAAAAGAAGTACTTGTCATATTTTCAGCGTCCGCCAACACTGAAACAATCGAGCACGTCAATCTGACCCTCTTATCTGACTTACTGCCTAGATTAGAAAAATACGTCTTAAAGTAATGTTTTAACAATGTTTGGGACTTTTATCTGTGTGAACAATCGCAAAGACAGTGAACTGAAATTTGGCGGTAAGACTCCTTAACAGATATAGGCAAGGAACGGAAAAACCTTCCAATTTTAAATGATTTCTGGAAGCATCTGAATACTTAAAACTATTATTCATGGTAAACAGCTTCCGATTACGTTCGGAGATAAGTTCAAGTAATGATAGTTAAATAATGATAACACTTCGACTGAAATGAAAGCGAGAGATATTAAAGATGAAATTGAATCGCTAAGTGATAACGAAAGTGACAGCAAAGCTAAGATTGGTTTCTATTTAACAATCATTTATAAGTCGAGAAAAGTAGAGTAAAACATGTTCATGTCGAACGTAAGTTCTTGACTTTTTATTGTAAATGGCTACGATCTTAAGCCCCACTCTCCATCCTATCCTACCTAAAGGCTTCCTCTGCATATGAATTGCAATGGGGGACTCCGGATTTGGTTCCTAAGATTACTTTTCTCTTAAGAAGGAAAAAATAAGTAAAAACGTGATCAATACATATTTAAATTTATGCTTTAGTAAAGAAAACTCGTTATTAAAATGATGTTAATTTTACGCTATATTATGTTAATTTTTAAAGTCCCATAAAAAAATTTTCGGAGTAAAACTTAATATAACCTGGACGGCTATTAATAGAGGATTCATGCTGTACTAGTTTCATTTTTCCACAGGGCATGGTTTGGCCACAGAAGCTATGCAAACTTTCGCTTTATCAACCTCATTTTTGACATAGTGTAAAAATGTTGTCCTTTCGAATATTAATTAATTTACATAAAGTCATGTTTTGTTTATAATAATTTGCAAAAAAATTCTTAAATCCTTCCGAGACTTGGTTTAACAGAATTCTGTCAACGACTTTACAGCGGAAAAGGCTTTAGAGCGGAAAATGGTACATTTATGACAATTTTTTTCTTTAGTAAGTTTTTAATATATTTTTCGTACCCATCCGAGTAGCTGAAGGCAAAGAATCTGGACTAGTAATTCAATGGTTTTGGTTCGAATCTCAAGTGCCGGATAACCTTAGATGATGCTAGTGCTGTAAGATTTTTTACTCTAGAATTTATTTCTCCAGCTTAAGTTACTAATAATATTTAAAAAGTCGAATAATGCAAATAAATTTCTGCACACGAAAAAACACACGATCGTCGCAAGCCCAGAAAAGCCCAACTCTGACGTAGAAAGTAGCTGTACCAAATTTTTTCTATTTTTTTGGCCACACGCTACTTATTGGTATTTATAAAAAGGAGGCGTTTATAGTAATAAGGGCTATGGTAAAAGAATTGATTTTTGATGACAGCCCCCGGTTTACGCCGTCTTTCGTATTTAAACTAATGTTATGAGAAATAAACAATAAAGAAAAGAGAGAATGAGGATGATGATGGTGATGTGCTGGCAGTTATTGTTGATGATGATGTCGACTTTTGGCATAGTTGTATGCATCCAAATACTTTGTAGTTTAAGTTAGTGACGAAATGTTTAGTAATATCGTCGCCGGTACGCACACGATTACACACAGTATTACCACTCACTTTTAAAATTGCGCAAGCCGTTTCATCAACGCAAGTAATGAAAATTTTGCAAAAATCAATAAGTTTTTATTGAATTTTATAAACATTTCATTTGAATGACCCAGGATGCATACCAAATAGTTTCAGTCTACATTTTAAGTGAACCTTCAGCATATCTTCCATTGACGTTGGGGATAACAAATTCGAATGATAATGTATTTGGTCCTTTTGATGAAGTTTATACAGGCTTTGAACTATTCGCTGTTCTCATAAAGTGTTACCTTTTGGCACTTGCAATATAATTAAGTAGTTTCTATACATATTGATATTTTTCATATCCCTATTTAAAGACCTTCAAGCAAAGGCCAAGCACAGGCTTTCAATTATATTGTTGCGAGCAAATTCATTACTATAAATTTTTTTTTATGTGGCTTCGGTTATATAGGAATTATGGATTTTTTTCAGATAATGTTCTCCTTGTCATTTTATACGCTTCCTTGTGTCAAATACACAATTTTTTAAATATAATTCTTATATGTATCTTTATCTTGCATACATGGGAATTTATGATAAATATTAATCGTAATGGGAATCTATATAAAAAATATTGATGCATACAAAAATATTAATCTCGCACAAAAGCAAATTATATTATCGTTTATGTATTGATTTTATTAATTTTTTTTCTATTAATCTAACATGTTAATTTGCAAAATTAGGGGTTTTCAGCATTATTTTTCTTTACATGTGAGATTTAAAATAACGTATTTAAAAGTTTTTTTTTTAGTTTCCAGCAAATAAAAATAGCACAAAGCGGGAAGTTCTTTAGCATCACTCCTCGAAGCCATTTTTCCTTTCTTCACTTTTCATCTTTCTCCCAGGCATAACAACGTTTCAGCCTTGGCAATTATTCTTACAGCTTGACATTCCTCGTCGTTGAATTTAACATCCCTACAGCGCTACAATGCTACTGTTGTCCCTAATAGCAAATGTTATAACCGAAAAGTGAAATAGTATAGTCCGTACTTGTGTTGGAAAACTATTTGCTGAAACTGTCTTTTTGTCTTCATAAATAGAAGTAGGTGTGGATGGCTTCCTTATATCGAAGTGTAAAAGCAGGGGTCGGTTTACAGAACTATTGTATTCGATATGATCGCTTTCTGGATTGATCGAACTCAGTTGTTTTCGTATCGAGTTGCACTTCTCGTTTTTTGCAATTACAATGAAATGTTTATTGTATCATGGATGTATGTATAACAAAATAATGCGAGACGGGAAAGAAAAGTGAGCAAATAAACAAATGAAATCTAACATTTGAAAAAAACCTGGCGAAAAAATTTAAGATCTAATAAACAAACGTATAAAATAAAATTAAATATATGTATATCCGCTTGAGTGGCCCAGTAAACAAGAGTCTCAACTAGCAACTCAATGGTCGTGGGTTCAAATCTCAAGCGCGGTAGAGGTTTTAATAAAGCCGAGAGCCTTAGATGCTAGTGCTTGAAGACTTTCAGTCTCGGAATTTATTCTCTGACTAAATTTATAATCATAATAATACTGATAATAGTAATAAAATTAAATAATTTGAATTAAATATACCACTCTTTATTTAGATAAATCCGATATAAACCCGATATTTATAATGACCATTTTAAATTTGTTTGAGAGCATACGGCCCAGATCGTCCGAACGTCGCGTGTCCGGGACACTGACTTCTGATAATGTTCTATTTTCCCTTTTTGTCTTTCATAAAAATTTTGTCTTTAATTTGAAATTTGAAATTTTATGCCGCTAAGAGACAGAAACATCGAAAATGATGTGTTATTGCCGACATTTTTATATTTCTGAGATCCAGTAATGTTTCCATTTTAATTTATTTTATCAAATACTGCTTTTATAACGATGTTGAACATACAGCCCAATAGCTATTTTACTTTCGAGGTGAAATATGACATTTTATATTTCATGTCGGGCAAATACTCGTACGCGGTCGCGAGAACCATTAACATAAAATGCAAATTCGGTACAAACTCCGCGATTACGTAATTGGTCTTATAGTATTATTACGAAAAATTCTTTTCTGTTTACCTATTGTCCCTAATATTTTTTAGTAGGATTGTAAATTTACAATGGCGCCGACTTTGTTGGCAGGATGAAGGGCTTACAGAAAAGTATTTGCAGAATTACAGAATCTTATTTTCGACAAAACTGTTTTCCTAAAATTTAATTATTCTTCTCCTACTTTTTTTAAAATTCCCCTATTAGGTTTCCCAGCTATTTGTTTATTTCTCACCGAAAGATGAAAGGTATATACTTTTCAAATATACAACATTACAGTGTATTACACCTTATTATTCTTTAGGATAATGGTAAGATAAGAGATTCGCTCGCAGCCGAATATAACTTTCTTGGTACTTGGTTTATTTTAGACTAGGACTAGGAAATAAAAAACAAGAGCTTGCGAAGGGGATAACAGTTTCAACATTAAAATAATTGTTTTTATATGACTAAAAAAACGTTTGAAACGTATTCGTTACATGTTGGATTTAAACGACATAGATAGGAAGAATTTATTATGGTCGGTGGTTGTTCAATTCAAAACTCCTTCCTGAATCTCCTCGTAGCATAATAATCCAGTAAGTTGCGTCCCAACTTAATATTAGTACCTGAACATTGTGCAAACGGAGAATCTTTTAATAGAATGCTGCCGTTCTCCTGTAGACCTCCGACCTATCAATCATTTGACGTCATCAATTAAAGTCTCTTAAGCAGTTGTTCGGTTTATTATTTTTCATTTCTCGTTTTGCTTATTGTTCACACGCAAATCGATTAATTGTTGCCGATTAGGAGAAACGCCAGCAGCCTTTAAACACAAGACGAATTCTTTTTCTGTTCTGTTTATTTGAAAAAAATGATCTAAATATTTACATTATGGAAAAAAATTAAAATTTATTTATTTATATAAAAATTGGGCGCCAATTTTTCCTTTAAAAAAAATGTTAGATAAAAGCGAAGATTTATAGTGCTTATAGAAAATGTCGCAATGCTACCCTTATCGAGCTACAATGCGTGTTGAACATAAGAATTCGTAGAAATTGTAGGAAAGACAATGGCACATTTGAACTAATTCAATCAAAAGTGATTGTAGAAAATAATTATTTCCCGACGACATTTCGACTAAGGCGGTAAGGGTTGTGAAAAATTTTGGAGTTTCTGGTGACGATGTTTCATCACAATCGCAATCAAGTTCAATATGCCATAGTTTTCAAGTTAGTTGAATGACAAGAAAATAATTTCAACAAAGGTTTTTTGCAACTCTGTACATAAATTGCTCTAAGCTTGTAAATAACAAAGTCAATGTTATCGTGAATTTACAATCCAATAGCATAAACCTAGTTTGCGCAATATTGGGAAAAATGCTGAATTACGGAATCTCAAAGTGATTGAAAAAATACACATTTTTCATATTTGAAAGCTACATGTAGAATGATTAAATATTCCTTTAGCGCAGTGGGTTTATAAAAAAAAAATGTTGTTCTTTTTAATTACAGGTGCTGGTGAATCGGGTAAAAGTACAATTGTTAAACAAATGAAAATCATTCACGAGAGCGGGTTTACTCCTGAAGATTTTAAACAATATCGACCAGTTGTTTACAGCAACACAATACAATCATTAGTTGCAATACTTAGAGCAATGCCAAATCTTAGTATTCAGTTCAGCAATAATGAACGAGAGGTAAGTAGAAACAAACGCACTCACTGTTAGCGTTCGCCCTGTTTTTAACATACTATCATATACAATATAGCACTTAATTGCACACGTGTTCTATTACTACTTACGGAAGACGAAAATTTTTATTATTTTAGAGCGATGCAAAAATGGTATTTGACGTGTGTCAACGTATGCACGACACTGAACCCTTCTCAGAGGAATTATTGGCTGCCATGAAACGTTTATGGCAAGATGGTGGTGTTCAAGAATGCTTCTCACGTAGCAACGAATATCAACTAAATGATTCCGCCAAATAGTAAGTAAAATTTCACTGTGCATCATGCATAGACAGCCGAAAATATGTAATTAAAATCCACAATCTTTACACATATGTATTTATTATGAATTAATATGAACAGTTTCTATTCTTTAGAATCTATTTCGAACTTCTTAAAATTAATTTGAAATTTAGTGGGGGCCTCGGTATATAGGTCGAATTCATTTCATAAATCAAATCACCATAATTATATTCCACTTTATATTTGCGAAATATCTGCAAAGCATTATAAAAAGAAAAAACAAAAAAATAGAAAATTAGCTCTCATTCGCAAGTACAAACATTAGAAAAGAAACTTCATTTGTTTACGAGAGTTTTTCGTTTTGTTCTCTACGTACAAGTTTATATGTAAGTACCTTTGCCAACAACGTGTACAATTCAATTTCGGCAAAACGACGGCCAACACACATCCGCCGTCCAAAACCAAACGGCAGACTTACAAAGGGATGAATTTTTGGCCCATTATAATATTGGCGACATTGGTTCCCAGCTTTGTACGTTCGCAGGTGTGCATGCAATTTATATATTAATTAAATTTGTTTTTTTTAGTACCATTTGAAAATTTATCCTTTTAAAAATTAAATCTGCCAAACTACATTTACTTACTATTTTTTTCATTAGGTTTAAACCAGCGTTCTGGCGAAAATTGCCTAGGTTCACGAAAGTAGCCGGGATCGTTGGATACCACCAAATGAGGAAATATAATATGTGTCTACAAATATAAAATTATAGTGAAATCATTATTCATTACAAATGATGATGTTTCTCATTTACGTTAGCTGAAGAGGGAAGCGCTATAACAGCTAAAATTTTTTTTAGAAATTTTCTTTTTTGGGGGGAAGGAAAAGTTGTAGAATAATAATTTTTGGGGACGTTATTAAACATATATTTAATTGTTAAAAAAAAAATCATTTTTGAAGAATACTGAGAATGGTAAAACTGGAACCATTGTTTCGAAGCAACGTTAAACGAACAAACAAGCCTCACGTCTTTTCACTGTTTTGAATATTATATACGTAGCGTGATAATGTATGATATCTTGAATCATTTTGTTTTGAAGAGTGTTTTGGAAAGCCAAATTTGAAAACATTTAGCTGGATTGAAAGGTATTTTCATATAGATTCATTAGGTGTCCACTAGAATATTTAGCGCTCCCTAATTTGGAAGAAGGAGGCTTCCATGTCCTATCACATCTTAATCCTATTAAAGCATTTACAGAGCTCTGTTAACGGATATGGTAGCTGTCTTTGCTGGTTAAATTCGAATTTATCGCCTTTTGAGGTCTATAGGTGCTTGCATCTATTTTGATCACTTTTCCACTTGAAAAAGGCTTTTATTGAGAAAAATTAGTACAATGTATATATTAATCAAAATATTTTTCATCATGAATTGATGTCGGTGGACATTTACACTTCGCTTGGTATTAGCAGTCCGTAATGCGCTACAACTACCTAATCCCACCATATGCATAGCAAAACTTTATGACGGTGAACATTCCACTTCGGCGTCGATGTGGGTAGCTCCCCTGGACTTTTTGCGTCTGGGATTGCCGTAGTAGATCCACTTTCCATCGCCAGTAACAATTGACAAACAGTGGATCTCTCTCATCGTACGTAAACGTCTAGAAACAGTTGACTTAGCAACTGTTAAGCTGTTCGCAAGTTGTTTCAGAGTTCGGGCTGATTTTCATACAATAAGTTTTGCCATTCGCTGGTTTGGAGCTTTTTGGTCCTCCAGTCCATTCTTTGTAATTAACATTAAAATCGCCACTTATATATTGTTAAACCCAAAAGCGACAATTGCGATATGGTGAACTTGCATCACTGTAACTTCTAAATTTAATGGGCTTCGGTGGCAAATTTCTTCAAATCAAACAACAAAAGTATTAAATGCAGCAAATTGCAATTTTGAGCGTTCCATGGTTAGCGTCTGTGTACTGAACATTCAATAATACTAAGTTAATTAATTCAATAACACAAAATAAATAATTCAATAACAGCAAATGGAAAATTGTTACTTTTTGTAGAGAAAGGTCGAAATAATTGACTGTTCTGCACGTTGATTCTTTATATTACTATACCGTTTTCACCAATGGATTTTGCTGATCAAAATACATGCCAACACTTACTTATCTACTTTTTCTCCCGCTTTTTTTTTTAACAAAATCGCTTTATGGGCAGAGAGGTTTAAGAAATGGAAGTATTCTTTTTCTAATATGAAATAACTACCCCTTTAGGTATACAATAATTATTAATGACAGCATCTGATTGCAAGCTGCGTCCATTGGCAATGACTACAGGATACATTCTAGAATGAAAGTAGAAGAGAAAAATGTAAGGAAGTCTTAATCGTTCACAGCAGCGCTATCATAAACGTTGCTCATTTGATGTACCTTAACGTTTCTTTCACACATGCTTTTAGATATGGTAGCAATTGAAGGGCGTATTGATTAATTTCCGCTTCATTTTGGGGAAATACAGTTTTAAGTTCTTTGTAAAGTTTTTCTTGTTTTAAGGGATTTCTTGCTAATTGATATATGGTAGATGCAGCAGCTACTGAGGTCTATGAAATAGCTAGGTTAATTCTTTTTACATTAGGAGACTATTGAAGAATATACCGTGTCTACGCCCACTAAAAATAAATCTAAAGCCAGCACGGCCGCCAATTTGCGATTGCCTGTTTTATGCACTAGGCGTTCTATTATACTAATATTCGCTTCTATTCTATTCTTGTTAAGATTAGCGGCAGAGTTCATAGTTCGGTCTATGTTTTTCATAGATATCCTACAACAACATTAATTTTAATTAGATAAAGAACAATTTTTTATGCATTTTTGTAGAGAAAGCTTACTCAGTAAAATCATCTAAAGCCTGTATAAAACTTTTGTAAGTTTTGGTAGCGTAAAAACGCCACAAGGGCATACGCAACTCCAACTCAGGTACAGCCCAGAAGAACGTACTAATGGAATCAATTATTTTCTGGGAATCCTCACTTCCGGTAGGTGTTAAACAGCCTAAGCGGGTGTCAAGAGCAATGAAACCCACGGCTGAAATGAAGAATTTATAATTTAAATTCACACAGTTTTATTTTGTAAATGTTCGGCTTTATTTGACATGCTTTTACATATTACTTACACTCCAGAGCCCACTTATACAATTCGTGTAAAAAATTGGCTGGCAACTCTTGATTTTCATCACGCATTTCATGTATTCTTTCTCAATTATGTAAATATATATGTAAACATTAATAAATACATACGTTTTAATATTTTGAAGATAATAATAACAGCCCATTACTACAAAATTCTTTAAAGGCTTAAAGTCTGCCAAAAAATGGGATTAAAAAAGTAGTTATAAAGTAGAGCCGAAAGTATTTCCTCGTTGGCATTAAAATTTAATATATCCCGCCTAAAAAAAGGCGAACAAGCATGCATGTATGTAAGCGGACACGGGCTATTTTGAATTGACGATTTATTTGGTTATATATAGTATACCCTTTCTTATTATAAGATTCTTCGAAGGTACTTCAAATCAGGTTCGTACTAGCGGATTTTGAATTTATTATAGAATTGAAAATTATAATAGCCGGAACTGATTTCCAAAAAAACTTGCCAGCACGACTTTTCGGCTTTTCTCTTCGAATGTAGCGATTTAACCAAGTCGACTTAAATAAAGCTTTGGTTTATAAATCCTTTGAAATTTATGAACACCTCATTTAGTCCTGATATCTTGATTTATCCTCTTATTCGTTGCATTCTCTAGGCAACTGTTATTAACCCCCTTGCATGAAGGATTGCTCGGAAAGTTCTTGTGAATCTTTTTTATTCATCGACAACGTAAAGTTTTCATTTTGTTACACCGGCAGAAAAAGCATCGAACATCTGTATTTACTTTTCTTCTCCCAAAATGTTAAAAAAGTTCGTTTTCGGAAGTTTCAAGCAGACTTATTTTATTAATCAGATTATTTTCGTAACGACATTATATTAGAATTTTTTTATAAATATAAAACATTTAAATAAAAATTTACTACTTCTTACCTTGCCATGAATTCTGTTGCAATATCATTTAAAGGTGAGACATATTTTTTAACTATTTGAGGTTGTAACAAAATCTGTTGTACTTCCTGACGAAATAGTTCCCACTTTTTACCGTGCCTATGTATATGGTGAAAGCGATTAGCTTGAATAAATAATGCAAATATAATAAAAATGAGTTCAACTTACACACCAATTAAACCGGCAACATCGCCGAAAAAATCTTTCCTTAATTGCCCTTTATAATGTTTTAAACAGGGCATTGAAGGCCTGGAAAAATGTATTCACATTAATATTTTTTTTTTTCCCCCTAATAAAGTTCTTCATTTATTTTCGTTACGAAATATTAAACGTTTTATGTAAAGGCAGTCTTTTCATAAGAGTCTTTATATGGATGAAACCTAAAACGTAATTTGAAATGGTTCAAATTTATCAAAATTAATTTTCTTGTCAAAGTTCTCATTATTTTTACGTGTTGTTGCCATATGCTTGATTTTGTTGCATTACAAAAAAATATAGTTGATAAGATATTGCATCCAAAAAATGGAGCTGGCTGCGGGCATTTAATTTTTATATGTACCTGTACTCCGCCAAGTCGGGATACTTCTTTTTATAAGAAACATGCTGCTCTTATTTGCGAAGTTGCCGAAGCGTCTAAACCTGCTGATATGGCTTAAGGGACTCTAATTTGCCACAAGTCAATTGTTGGTGCAGTGTCTGATGGAGTTGTTGCGTTTGCTAAATAGTTGTAAATCTAGAGAAAGTCGTTAATCTTTGCCCACTTTTTATTTTAGCTGAGGATCCGTTACGTCCATCCAGAAACTTGCATATTTTTTATTACAGGCATTATGATCTATTGAACCACTCTAACATGTCAAATCTCACTTGGTCAAATCCGCGATATGATTTTAATAAAGCTCATACTTTTCTGCTTAAATCTCATCTTTCGCAAATTATTCTCGATTTTTCTGCTTGTAATATCTTCGCTTTATCATGTATTAAACCTATCTGGTTCTGCACCCGTTCCGATCAGATAACTGGCCTTTCGAAGCAATCGTCCGTCATGATTAAATAAAGTAGTTAAATGGAAAAGTGGCTCTTCATAAAATCATTGCATCTAGTTTGCTGCAACGCATAGATTTAATTACCTCAACCACCAAAGTTAATGCGAATGCTTTCAATTGATAAAATCCTCACTTCTTAATAATGCTAATCATATTATCAAAGGTCCCATTTTATTTAGTTTATACATTAAAGATCTCCCATCGGTGATTAATTCCAGTCAGATCTTGATGTACGCTGATGATGTGAAACTGTTTTCCTCCTTCTCTCTAGCATCGCAATCACCTCAGCTTCAAAGTGACTTAAATAATTTGGTTGCATGGTGAATCTTCTGAAACTAAATCTAAATAAATGTAAGAAGCTTTCTTTCTCAAGAAGAAAGTCATTCCTTAATCAGTATTTCATTGATTCGCATAAATTGGAGGACGTCGATACGTTCACAAATTTAGGCTTTCTATTTGACCATAGGTTACGTTTTAACTTGCATATTGAGCTCTCGATTAGCAAAGCTATGTCCGCGCTGGTTTTATAAAATGTGGTCCAAAGAGCTTGATGATCCCTACATTACGAAAAGGCTGTACATGTGTTTGGTTAGACCCAGACTCGAGTATGCCTCAGTTGTGTGGTCTTCTTCATATAGGTGCTACGTCGATTCGATTGAATCTGTTCAAAAGCAAGTCTTGCTGTTTGCCCTTAGGAATTTGGTTTGGAAACCGATTGCCTCTTTTCCCCCCTATGAAAATGGGTTGCTTCTGTTGTCCTTACCGTCTCTCGAAAAACGTAGGTTTGTTCTTTGCGTTTCCTTCTTAATCAAAGTAATAAATGGTGCTATTGACTCGCCTGCACTACTTGGTGAAATAAGCTTTAATGTCCCCAACCGCTTCTCTAGGCACTTTACCTAGGTTAAGCTTAGTGAATGTAAATATAATTATGAGCTGTTTAACCCGCTCAGAGTTGTTTGCAAGAACCTCAGTGATGTCATCATTTATTCTCATTACCGGACTCTTTAAAGTCCATTAAAGCAACATTGCTTAATGCGCGTAATTTACCTGTCGTACTTAAACTAGCTTTTAACCTTAAAATGTCACGATTAGTCGAAAATGAATTGTTGTTAGCTATTATCGGCTGCCAAGCCTGTGCATGTTTGCGATCGCTTAGGGGTTTATTCGCAATTTGGTTCTGTACCAGTTGTGGGTGTGGCTCTATGCTAGTTGTGTACATGATTTTTTATTTTTTTCCTTCTTATTTGTTTTATTGTACTTCTTATATGTTTGGTTTTGTCGTATTGTACTTCTTATTTGTTTATACTAAATTTTATTATTAATTAATGTAAGTTTTGCTTTAAGTGCCAATTGAACTGGACTTTTACTTGTTTAGTTGAGTTTCTTGTATAAGTGGAATAAATAAATAAAATGCTTCCGAAATATCCCTGTTGTCCGGTGTATTTAGTAATTACTCATACCAAATCAAAAATTGGATTTCTATTCCGAACTTTGTCATTTCAGAAAATGACGTATTATAAAATTTACAGGTACTTAAATACAGTTATGCGCCTAGGCCTGTAATGTAATCGCAAAGCGATTTAATCTTCTCTGAATACAGGGGCTGGAAGAGTAGATTTCTTATTCGTATTAGTAAAAGTTGAAGCAGGTATCCAGTCGCAAACTGTAGAGGTATTGCCCAGTTGAGCATTTTACTGAAGTAGTTTGAACGTAGTTTGTTTGTTACCCAACAATTAGCTTTCGCTATCAAGACTTCTATTTCTCCGCACTACCATGACTTCTCAAAAGCAAGATCAACCGTTACGAACTTGTCAGGGTGTACTTGCCATATTTCAGTAAAGCTGTTAATTAGCTGCAAGGTATTGGTCTTTAAAATGCAACCCGCGGGGGGTCCTTCATACTGTTACGGAAACCCCAAATTCTGTTCATTCCAACTAAGTAATGAAATCTCTAAAAAGGGAAAAACAAGTGCACTTTCGCAGTGCGTTATGCAGGCGCCGGCCGAGGAAAACGAGCACCAGAAAAGCGGGTTAACGAATCAAGGCTATTAGGTACTAGTAATATGGTGGTAAAAGTGCAATATAAATAGAATATTTGTGGAAGGGAGAGTTAGTAGGAAAAGAATATTTAAATTGAGCAATTATATGTGTTGCCAAAAATAAATTGTGAACAATTCTACATTTAAGGAATATTTTTGAACTTTGAAGTATATTTCTCTTGAATAAAATATCCACGATCCAGTAATACGGACTGTATCTTATAAAAGCGAATTTTATAGGAACTAATTGAAAAGCCTTTATCTTCGCTCATTCAGATTTCTTTTCAACTCCATCGCATCTGATGAATTTGAAGTCACCCTTTGATGCCAATAACCTCACGTGGGTTCTCAAGTTCAACCATTTCGAAATGTAGGCTGATAAAGTGGAGTTATTTTTCTCACATGGAATTGTCCTCTCATTTTCTTTAGTCGGAGCTAGACAACTTCGGTGGTCCACCAAGTTTTATGAAATTAAAAAAATGCAAGAAATGCAAGCTTTCTTTCACATTGAGCTATCTCTCTACCTTTGGCTTCATTAAACGGTGATCTACAGAACTTCACGACCCATGTGTTACAAAAAGGCAATTCGTTAGCCACATCAAACTAATGTGATCATTTGGCATGCGAATTTTGGTCAGCATTCGTGAAGTATCCAGTGTATGATTTTGGTGGAATAGGATTGAGCTTCTACAATGGGTCTCTTGAAGTGATATAAAAGTTGGATTAAAATCATTTATGAGTGTACGGAGTTCATCAAAATTACTACTAAATTCCCTTAATGTTTCAATGTAGAATTTTAAAAACTTTATTTAATTGTAGCGACAAGAATACCGAGCGGTAGGTAGGTTAACTTGCCATGTCGGCGGCTCCGTCGAGGAAGTCGCTATAGGAATTTTGCGAGAATAATTTGTTCTTACCAGCAGAATAATCTGTACTTAGGTGGTTGCGTACATTTGAAGTGCAACGAGTGGGCACACGTGAATAATTTGAAATTGAAGTTTGATTAAGGGATAAAAGATTACGTTCATTACAACTTGTAATTTGTTGACTAGAGTTGAGAGTTGGTGATTCTGGAGAATTTAGTTTATTAGATTTTAGGATACGGGTTGTTGTTTTAATTTTTGCAATATTTGGTGTTGCTTTGGCTTTTTCGATTATCTTTGGCGTGTGTTGGAACACGTTTCGTCATATAATTTTTGGTTGATGATAGAAAAGGTTTTTCATTTGAAGGCAGCAGCTTAGGTGTTACCTTGGGCTAAAGATGGAATTATTTCACGGTATTTTTGCAGTAATTTTCCGTTTTGCTTTTTAGAATTTCCAAAAACGTGGGCATTGTTTGTCTAGCGTTGAATGTTGATCGTTGCAATTTATGCAGAAACTACGCGCACAGCTTTCAGCGTGTGGAGGAAAACCACAGCTAGCACAAGATGGAGCGCTGGTGCACCTTTTTTCCGTATGACCAAGGCGTTGACAGTTTTTGCACCTCATAGGATTTGGAATGCAGAGTTCTTCTTTACATTTATACGACACCACATCAACTGTTCGCGGTAATCGGTAGAGATGAACGTTTAAAATAATCCTTCCTGTAGTAGAGCGAGTTTTCCGTCGTCATTTAGTTTGGTGAATTTATATACTTCCGTCACTCCTTGATTACCCATTTCGCGAATAATTTCATCTTCCGGCACATGCTTTAAGCACGGGGCATAAATGACGCCTCTAACTAAGTTCAGTTTTCCATGTAGTTTAGCGGAAATAGCACATAGATTAGCTAAAGATTTCGACTTTATGAGCTTTTCGTTTGCGCGCGGGATCCCAGCGAGGACAAGTAAATTCTCATCGCGTAGAATCGATATAGAATCTATGTATGCTGCAATCCTATCTAGGGCTTTTTTATAGCAAAAGGGATAATTTTGGAAAGTGATACGCTAGCATGAGTTGAAGAAATAACAATATATTTCTGTCAATAGGAGTGATGTCGCTAGTTGGCAACACCGGAAAATCCGAATTTTTAATTTTTTTTCTTTTGGGGGATATGTCAGCTAATAGATGAAGTCTATTCGAGTTTTTATCTGGCGGCCCCGGGGCCATTATGCTTTATGATTGTGTATTAGTTATTTGTAAAATAACTCACTTGAAAAGGTTTGGGAGCTACTGAGGATAATGTCAAA